GCTTTCATCAGTAAAGTAGATTTGTGTTATGTGTGCCCCTCCAATTTCCCAGCTAACCAGAACATACAGTTTGACAAGAAAATGGAGCAGAGGTCCAAAGAATGTGCACAAATATTCAAGAAGCCTGAAAGGAGGGACCAGACATTATCAAGACAAGAAAATGACCAGTAGAGAAAATCTGGAGGCTTGAAATAAACCTTTGCTTACTACATTTTTTTTTTTTAGTTCCTGACAATGTTCTCCATTTTTCTAGCTTAGTGACTCTTTCCTTCCACAATATTCTCCAGACAGCTTCAACTCATGACTTCAAAATAAAGGTAACTAACTGTGTGGAGTGAGCAGCATGGAAAGCCTTGATTGGAAACATCCTGTATCTCCTCCCACTGCTTCCAAATGCCTGCATCATTTGACTTTATTCATGGGAAAAGAGCAAGATCTTTGAAATATATGCTGACATCATCTGGGGGGAATATCCTGGGTTTGGATAATTTCTCATCATAACTCCATTATTCCCCTGAAGCAAGAAAAAGTGAAATGTATCAGGCACAACTATTATAATTCTGATTGCTGTTTAGTTCTGATAATCAAAAAGCTTTGAAAATTTGGTATCCCTTTTCCATTAATGTAAATACACCAAGGTCACTGAAAGCCTGCCACAGCATGTCCACATCTATTCCTTGGTACCACTGAGCTAATTCTGATTTGTTTTCATCAGTCTGTGAAGTCATTACTATCCTGCTGTATAATTGAATCATTCTGTATTAGCATCAAGCTTTCTCAAAATGCATTTACCAACAGGGAGTGGACATTCAGCAGTAACAATTATCTGGGTATATTTCTCCCTAGCAACTTCTCTTATGGAATGTTTGACTTAGGACATTGGAGGCTATAGTCTTGTATTGATAGCTTTTACTAAATCCTCCTTTTCAATCCCTTCCTGTATCTCCATCATACATACCAAAAATAAAAACCCAATTTTTGGAATGGATGAGATAGCATATGGCAATTTTTCTCTATATGACTGTCCCAAATTTTTGATCTCTGTAGTCCTTTCATTTGAGGTTTTTTATATAAAACTGTCATTGACCTTGCAAGTACCAGCTGTCCTCTTGAAATATGAGGCTGGTAATGATGACACACAGCATTGATAATAACAAATGGTAGTTCATATTTCAGCTGAGTTGGGCTTTTATGCTCTGCTATTAGATCCGAAGTATTCAGTATGAATAGAAAATATTAAAATGTAATTTAACTGCCTGATATCTTCTTTTTGCTACTAAGCAGGACATCTGGAATTGAAACCTACATTGAGTCTGCTCACGAATCAGGTCAGATATGGCACTGGGGTTAGGTGACTCTGCTAAATGGAAGATTTGAAGTTCTTATTTGTGGAGATTAGATTTTTATCTAGGATGGAGATCATTTTAACATGACTCTCAGCTCTGTCATAGATTCTAGGCAAATTCACAAAACCCTCAATTCTTTCATAGTTTAGAATGAAAATTAAGGTGTATCAGGGCCTTGGGAATAGCAAACCGGCAAGTATATAATATAAAAGAAACTGGGACTCAAATTAAGCCAAATTGTTTTGACTATAAAGGAGACTGTTTCTCTATACTATATCTTGAAATACTGATCTCTGGTAAATTTTTGCTGTTTTGAGCACATTCTTATACAGATATTTCTTCTGGTCATTAAGAGGTGTTCATACTGCCTTGACAAAATGTTTGCTATGGCATGGATATATAAACAGGAAGGAATCATAAATGTTTAGTTTTTCTTTTTTAACTTAAAAAAAAAGAACTTTGAGAATCAAAAGAGAAGTTCCTAAGGAGAACAGGTCATAGCATTTAAATGATAACCATCATGGTGGACCTGGGATGCGTCCCAGATCCCCCCTCCATGGAGGGACTTGTTGCCCCTGCAGCTGGGAGTGCTGTGGGCAGAGAGCCTTCAGCTGTCAGCTCCTTCAGGGACTGTCCAGCTGCAGAGAGCTGCCTCACTTCACGACCTCTGGGAGACAATCCACATCCAATGGCTGATAAGGCCTGGCCCTTTTATCCCAACGCAGGACCCCTAGACCAGCCATTTCAGATCCACAGCTTCCCCCGGGGCATGAACCAAGGCTGCATCATGGCTCAACTTCACTTTCTAGGCAAATCCCACCTCCTCCCCTCCTTGCCACAAGCATGGATCCCAAAAGGACACACCGTCTCAGTTTCAGTACCCAACTTGCAGCAATGAGAAAACAGAAAGAAAACAGAGAGGAGTGAGAGGTGGATGATATTGTCTCTGAAAACCTCCAATGAGAGTTTCCTGGGCAGAGAAAGAGAGGAAACCATGGTGTGCCTTTGTGGGTGTTGGGGGTGGGGAGGGATGATGGTCTTAGAAAACCTTAGAGGAGGTGGAATTACAAAGATTCAAAACTAGATGGCCACCCTATGTTCCAGCAATCCCACTCCTGGGCATATATCTGAAGGAAACTGTAATTTGTAAAGATACATGCACCCCAATGTTCATAGAAGCACTATTTACAGTAGCCAAGACATGGAAGCAACCTAAACGTCCATTGACAGATGACTGAATAAAGAAGTTATTTTATATATATATATACATAAAT